GGGATCTGTCACCCTCTTCTGACCTCTGTGGGCACTGCACAACACAGGTGCATTGATACACATGCAGGGAATACACTCCTACACATAAAGTACATAAACAAAATATATAAAAGAAAATTGTGGTCAAAACATTAAAAACTTGTTTTCAGTGTTAGATGCATGGAAAAATGAGAAAAAAATGATAAAAACTAGTATTAAGTACACTGTAATTTTAAACATTAGAAACATTAAGAAATAAGTTTTTATTAGATTTATGAAGGACAACTTAACAGTGCTTGCCTCCTGGTGTATAAATCACATTACAGTGCAATTTCTCTGTTTTGGTGAAGCATCACACTCGTAATTTGTATGAGCTTGTAACTGTATTAGTTTCCTCACTGTATTACTTAAACACTGAGGCTATGCGGGTAAGCCTTCTACTTATGGTCTTACTATTGTGAAGACAGTGTCAGTGGAGGTGAGCTCTTATTTGGCTATTTGGAGGAAGAATCTGCTTCCAAACTGGTTCATGCAGTTCAAAAAATTCAACCTTGGTGTGAGGCCAAGGTCCTCATTCTCATCTGACTTCCTCCATCTTCAGATTGGTGGACTGAGCCCTTCCCATGCTTTAAATGTGAGGTCTTCTATGACCAAATGGAGATAACACTAGGCTTTTAAGGTGCTCAAAGGGTGGACTGGGTAAAGCCCACCAATAATGGATATATTTTAAAGCTAACAGGCTTGGTACATTTGCAAAAATCCTTCACAACAGTATTTAGATTAATGCTGGGAATTGTGAACAGTAATTCTGTTCATCACTCAAATTTTCATACTTTCTATTGTATTTTGAAATAGCTTTGACTCAGTTTTAATGTCAAGTTGATTGGCAGCTTTGCTTTCCTCTGGCACATTATTCTTGTTAGAACAAAATACCTTGATTTTATTGATCATTTCTCTTTGAGTTACTCTGGCTGCATATCTGGGCTTCTAGAATGTGGACCAGATCACCATTTTCTGAGTCAGCCATCATGTGATCACAAGCATTGACACTTCCATTGTTAGACTTCCTTCCTCCCTCCCTTCCTCCCTTTCTCTCTTCCTACCTTACTTTCTACCTTTGTCTCCCTCTTTTTTCCTTTCATTTTCTTTCCTACTCTCGCAACTTTTGACTGCTTTACAAATACCATGTAGTTTATCACTGTGAGGCAAGATCACTATGTGAACTGCTTCATTTTAATCCATCCCTCTTTATCAGTTATATTAAACTGATGCTTTACCTATAGTTTGTTATCTATAGATTTTTTCAATTTTAGTTCTATTGTTTTTGTACTCAATAACATGCAGCTATTCTCTCGTCCTTTTTATACTTTTTAATTTTGTATGTGTGTTGTGTTGTATTTGTTAGTGTGGGTATGTGTACATGTGCATACTGAGTGGAGGTCGATATTAGATCTTTTTCACCAATTGCTCCACCTTTATTTTGGGATTTATAGGTGTTTATCACTGTGGTCAGCTTTTTACCTAGGTGCTGGGGTCTAAACTCAGGTCCCAATGCTTGCCCAGAAGGAACTTTACCAACTGAACTATCTACCCAGCCCTTCTCTTGTCCTTCCTTTATGTTAAAATATTAAAGGTTTCATTTATAGCTATCAAATAATGTGTATCTAATAATATAAGAAAATTCTTAATTCTGTGGTGTCAGCAGCATTAAAATTACTTTAGGTACATTACTAGATGTAAAGTGTGAGGGCTATAGATGAAATTTCTAATGAAGTGTTTATTACAAGCTTCTATTTTGTAATAATATTGAAGGGCAAAAAAGTCAGTCAGGTGTCATAAGGTACAGTTAATTTTCAAACTCTCTTTAACTTTCAGTAGTCTGTCTAGAAGTGAAAAGAAACTGTATACCCAAGGAACTGTTGATGGTGTTACACTTCATTCATCACACAGGGGCTCAGTCTTCCCATTTCCTCACACATTCTCTCTGAAGACAGGAAGGTGTGTCTGCCCATCCTTCCACTAAAAGAAAAAAAATATTCAAAAAAAAAATCTTGTATTTATGGTTTTAGTTTGTGGAGCTCAGGGCCCATTATCTCATTCCCATAAGGTTGTTTGTATATTTCACAGCACAGGCTCATTGTTTGCTTTCCCGTTTTCATTTTTATCTTTTGTAAGTATTAGAAGAAAGACTGGACATTCGGGACATTAGCCTGATTTCCTTGGGAGAAGAGATGCATTTACTACTATTTGTTATAGTTTACTCAGTATTCAGGATGTTTCCCACCAAGAAGTCTTTTCCCAGTATCTTGGTCCACCAATCACGGAAGTCTGATCCTACGGATTCTTGTGTACTTTTCACTAATGTATAAATAAAACCCTAACTAATACACAGCATTGGTTTGTAAGCTTTTAAGTGTTTTTTTTTGTTGCTGGTTTTTTTTTTTTGTTGTTGTTGTTGTTGCTTTGTTTTGTTTTTTGAGAGACAGGGTCTCACATGTGGCCAAAACTGGCCTTGACCTCAAGTTCTTCCTGTCTCAGTCTCCCATGTGGTAGGATTTCAGGTGTAGGACACCAAGTAGCAAATTTTATTATCTATTGAAAATTTCTGATTTCTTCTAATACTAGGATGATCTTTTTTTGTGTTCTGTGATTAACCTGAAAATGCTTATCTTTGGTATTTTAGTTTGTTTGCATATAACTTCTGTTTTATCTAAATATATTTGGAAATTCTGTCCAGTGTTTTGATCTTTTGGGCTAAAAATGGGATGGAATTTCTTAAGAGATGTATTCATTTACCTAGCAATTCTTTAAGTCCCATCCTCTCCCCTTTTGACACCAGGGTCTCACATAGCTCAGGGTGGCTGAACTGGTTACATAGCCAAGGCTGGCCTTGAACTCCTGATCTTCTTGCCCTGACCCCCTCAGGTGTTGGGATTACAAGTAAGCACCACCATGCCTAGCTTGAAGCATTTTTGATGAATTTAATTTTTAAAAGTTCCCCTAATTTTTATTTTAAATTTACTACCATAAAGTTGTTCTTATTATATATTTTTTCAATCTATTTCAATTACAGGTTTTTAATATGTAATCTTTTGAATATTAAAATGTTATTACAATAAAGAAGTTTTCAAAAATCACAACAGCTGCATGTTTGTTTTGTCTTTTGAACTCTAGGCAAGTCACTGATTCTAAACATGTTATTTTCATTTCTATATCAATCTAATATTTCCCTTTTGTAGTTCCAATGAGACCCAAAAAATAAAATTGGAAATTTTAAAATTGACAAAACATAAAACCCCAAGGCTTTTCATTTCTATGTGTAGTTTCTTTCTGAACAAGCACATCATGTTGACATTTTCTTCCAATGCATGAAGCACATCTTTGGGAACATGAATGAGGCACACTGAGTTTATACCTTCTCCAGCAGAGTAAAATCTCCACAGCAATTTTCTCAAGGTGACCTGAGAACTGATCCTTTGTTACATAACCATTTCCAACAGAAATATAAAAAAAAAATACTTAAAATATCTTGTGTTTTATTAACCACATGCTTATACTCTCAATGAGAATTTTCAAAAGAAGCCAAAACTTTTTAACAACTCAGGTTCCTACAGAAGTTCAAGTTACCATCAATAAATACATCAAAGCAAGATCTCTTGAATCCTTAATTACTTCAGCCCACTTTTCTATTTTTTTAAATTTATTTTTATTTTACGTGTATGAGTATATTGCCTGCACGTATGTAGGTGCACTGTGTGGTGCACTGCCCATGCAGGCCCGTTGTTGGATTCCCTAGGGATGGCTGTGAGCCACAATGTGGGTGCTGGGAATTGAACCCAGTCCCTCTGTAAAAGCAGCCAGTGCTCTTAACCACTGAGCCATCTCTCTGGCCCCCACTTCTTTATTTTTGTACAGATCAAGTAATTTCTGACAGAACTAAAACTAGGACAATGAAAATAAGGAGTTATAAGCCATTTTGATGAGGTTTTTTTTTTTAAATCATAGACATTAATAAGAAGATATAGTTGATAATTGTAACAGCTTTGTTGTCCAGCATGCAAAAAAAAAGCAAGGTCCTCATCTCATTTTTGAAAACTTTTTGCAGTAAACATTAAATCTGAACCTACAAAATAAGACTATTTTTTGTTTCAACTTATTTACTAGTTTATAGATCCCTATACTAGATTTCAACATAAATAATGGAAATATGATTTTTTTTAAAAAATTGTAATTTTCAGAATTTCTCTTAGTAAGTTTGCATTAAATTATTTTATACAGGATAATTTTCTTTTACATTTTCTCAAGTTGTATTACTACTGTTGGTCTTCTGTTTAAAGTGGACAATGACATGTAATTATAATGTGTTAGGAAGAGAGTCATCAGTGACATGCTACATGTCCATAACATTATTTAAGTATCTTAAGAAGAATTTTCTTCTCTAGTCCCATTTCCAAGACTACTTTTACTCATCTATTTCCAACTTGGAAATGATTAATAAATGAAAAAAATTGGCAAAAAATGGTTGATTTTGATTAGTAACAAGTAGCATATGTATAATTTCTAGAAAGTGCTCAAATTCTGGATTAAGAAAATATGTTATTACAAAATGAGAAATCTCAAGGAGTTAAATATGGGGAAAGTGTTACCTTAGAAAGGCAGAATCCCTTTGTTATGAATCATTTTTCTTTAAAGAACATAAATATTAGCTTGAAATGACAGTAAAAATGTATATATTAACGTAAGTTCTACTCAAATTAAACTATCACTGAGCTTTCATTAATACATCTGGACTGTAGTAACTTTACCACTTTCTCTCTCACCTCACGGAAAAGGGAATATTATGTATTTTGTTTCTCTCGCTGGACTGCAGTCAGCTAAATTTGAAGAACTGAGACACAAATCCTCTATGTAGTCTAATATATGTCTCATTCAAGTACTACGATTCAACAGTGGTTCAACAGTTACATTAATGTCAGTGCTTGAAAATTATACCATTTAAAAAAAGAGGAGTCAAAATAAAATATTTTTTAAATTTTATTATTACCGTTTAGCAATGGGGAACCGCAGTTTATTTACACCAGCAGCCATATGGGCAAGGGGAACACAGAGTTAATCAGCTATTTGTATAGGATGGATTACTTACTCAAAAATAAAGAATCTCCAAAGCAAAGGACAGTGGTGAATTTCACACGACCCTCCCCCAATGATCCCAGCATGCGATAATGCCAGGCAATGGCCCCTGGGCATGCGGTGGTAGGAACTAATGTATGGAAGAAAAATCCACAAACCACATAAAATTTTAAGATCCCCTTTCCCCCATACACACACACTCCGATACATAACAGGATTACAGGGTGATCAATACAATTAATTGAAGGAAGGAAGGATAGGAATTCTGTTACAGGGAAGGTAGGCAGGGGAAGGGAGAGTTCCTAACCACTGTCATCTATATGGTAGAGAGCATTATCTCCCCCAAAGTAGTTTGTCCCCTTAGGGTGCCTGCTGGAATGAGCCCACCTATTATTTATCTACACAGAGCAGGGGGCTATGGCCCTAATGGAATTAATGGGGACAAAAAACAAAAACCAAGAAGTAATATGAATAAACCATTACCCAAAGCTACTTCCCACATCTTTATCCTCTGACCAGAAAAGATCAGAAAGAAAAATGAGTCACATCTGAGCTCCCTATCTGAAGGCAGAATGAGTGGGCCATGGTATTTCTCCCTTACTTTCATCTGGTTTCCAAGAAGACATTGTTAAGAAGTAGGTCGGAGTCTCACTTAGACCCTCTTTTTTCTCATTCATTGAGGGTATTTAAAAAACTCAAGTAGCAAGATAAATCCAAAAGTACTTTTAGCTCCTGCCAAAGTTTCATGTTTTGAAGATACCCTCAATTCCTGGACTGAGGAAAGATCAACATGTAACTAGGTCTCAAGCCTGAGCAGGAAAACTCTAAAAAGGCAGTAACAGTCTCAAGGCCCAATCACTACGGTTTCCTTAACTCTCTTAAGAGTACAATAATTCAAATTAGATGATACAGTTCAAAGAGCTCCTAGGGTAAGGAAGCTACATACACAGGAGGCTTAGAGAAAATGGAGCAGAACCAACTCCATCCTGTTATGTCAGCCTTCAGTGTTCTGTGTTAAGTCCTAGGAGGCAGTGTCCAAGTGGTGGTGGAAGACCGAACTCATGACAGAGCAGGGGAATATACAAGCAAGGCAGCCCAATATAGGAAAGATACTTAAGCATGACACTGCCTTGTAAATACAGAAAAGTAAATTATTTTTCCATTTCAATTCAGAGGGATTGGAGAATAAAGATTCACCTCTGGGTCTTCCATAAAAACAAGTAAAAACAAAAACATGACAATTTAAAGGAGGACAAGGAAAAGGAAAGTGAGTAGGCCTCGGAAGCAGGAGCATTGAGATGAACTAAAACTAGTCAAGGTGAAAGCTGGAGCGGCAAGCAGCACCTGGAATCATGAGCTGCACCAGATAGGCAGTGGAGCAGTGGACAGGAACACGGGGCCAAGCCAGACAGATGAGGCTGGACCCTTTACTGGGGCACAGAATGAGGTAAGAAAACATTTCAAATAAAGCAGCACCGTTTGGTTCTGCTCACCTCAGGACTCCCACCCTCTTAAGCTTTATAAACCCTCACTTAGAAAATAAAAGAGGACAGTTTTGATAAACAGATTACTTTCCATCCGCCTCTATCCCATTCTCCAAAGTTAAGGGTTTGGAGTTCTTTTCCTGACTTCCAACAAAAAGACAGCCCCTGCTGCCAAGAAGGTCCAAAGGGGACCAGTAAGTACTGTCGTTTATGAGGGGCAAGAAGGTGGTGAAAAGTCTATTCACCATAGCAGTGCTCTGACCAATTTAAGGAATGAGGGCTTTCAAAAGGATTCTGCAATAATAAAACGTAAGTCAGGCCTGTTTCTTGGCTCTTAGCACACTAACCCATTCACATTACTGAGGGCAGATGGAAGAAGTTCCCTCCAGGATCAGTTTCAAACAGCCTCCTGCTCAGCCATGATGCCCTTCTGTAGTTAAGTGATGCTCTTGGAGCAGGAGGCAGAAAGTGACATGGCATAATGACCAAGTCACCATAAGCTGGCGGCATCACCAGTAACTCAAAGAGTAGGAAAACATTGTCCCACCAAAGTTACATCCACACTATAATTCATCCAGATAGGAATCTTCCAGATGGCGTGGGTATGTAGTTGGAGACGTCCCTATTTCCTTCTCAACGCATCAAAACAGAATTCTCAGCCTGTCTATACAACCAGGTTATCCCTGGACAAACCTATGCCACCAGGTGGTAGGCAAAGGACTCCATCAGTCAAAGACCAGGCCTTGTCCCTACATCCGCTGAAATCACTGCAAATGCTGATCTTTTGAGAACAGATATTTTTGAACTTTTCTTCTCCGTAGACAAGGTCACAGGGCTTCCTACCAAATTCAAATGGGAATATTTTAGTATCCAAATCTCATACCTAACTTTGTCTTGAACATGCCCAATTGGAAGTTTAGAAATCAGAGAAGCAGTCCACTGAAGCCTATTACTTATGGCCTGACCATCAGCAATGTCCAAACTGTCCAGGAAGCCCTTGACATCAAGCAGATGCAGTGTCTGAGGAACACAAAGATTTCATACGCTGGGCACACAACTGCTCACCTGTAGCAGTATAGATATCTTCTATACATCCAGGTGTGTTTATAAAGATCAAAACACATAGCATGATACCCAGGCTGTGGGCTTTGCCTGCCAGGATTTCACAGCGGGCCATGGGTACACTTTTAAATGGATCCAAATTTCTAAATTATCCACTTTGGGTTTTTTAATACTAGGGGAACTGGGTCTTTTTGCCTGATTTTTTTTTTTTTTTTTTTTTTTTTTTTTCACAACCTCACATCTCTCCAAGCCACGGGACCAGTCTATATTATTGTCCTGGTCACTGTCTGCCTCTCTCATGTTGCGACTACTGGAATTCTGGAGGCGAACGCTGCAGCTGCTGATCAGGCGCATTCCCAGGTTCTCCAGGAAGGGAGCAACGCGGGAGGCGACATGCTCCTTTGTCTTCCACTGGCTGAATGCCAAAATCCTTCACGTTACCAGTCTCTGCGAACTCCAGGTAGAAGTAGCCACATTTGACTGCCCGGTGCACCTCAAAGCAGAATCCCAGGCAGGAATCCTCTATCAGGTCTACATAGATCTCCTGGGCGATGGCCTCTAACTTGTTAGTATCCAGGCTGGCCAACGAGATCTCCTCCATCTTAATTTGGAGCGACTGCGGAGAGCGCTCGTTTTACTCACGGCAGCGACACGGCGGGCTCCGCGGGCCGCGCTAGGCCTCAGGCCTCCCCGGCCGCGTCCTCCGTGCGGCGATGATGGCGTCCGCGGCGACAGCGGCAGCGGAAGGCGCGGCTGCTCCCGAGCCCCGAGGATAGGTTGGTTAAGGCGACTCTGGGGTTCACAGCTTGGAGCAGCGCCTGGGCCCAACCTCACAGCCAAACGGTCTCGGCTCCTCACCCAATCGCCCCGGCCTCTTCCGCTCGTGGCCGGCTTGGGCCCGCCTCCCTGCTTCCGGCCAATGGCGCGCCTGCGCAGTGACTCCGCGCGGTATCAGGGCTTCTGTGAAAGTGCTGCTCGCTTCTTGGAGCTTCGGCTTTATGAGCAGCAGTTGTGAGAACTAAATCTTTCCTTTTCACTTTGTGCGAAAAATGATTTCAAGGATGCTGTTGTCTGTTATTAATTTAGAGATTTAAACGTCTGCTAATGAATTCAACTATGTTCCGTTTATTTCCTGCGAAAAAGGGAAAAATATTTACATGGTTAGGGAATAAATTGAAAAACCATTTTAGGCATAGTTCACAAACGACTGAAAATTTGGCTTACAGGACTGACTAGTAATCATTTACAGTGCTGCTTCAGTTATCATTGAAGTCCACTAGATGGTGCAAAGAAACAAATTACAGTTTATCATTGTCTTGAATAAAAAAAAACAAAAACAAAAACTAGAAACCAGACACTTAAAGCATAATTCATATATATTGATCAAATAAACCTACAGCATTTATCTTATAAGACCGTTAAGTCAGCATGACTATAAAGAAATGATTACACACATCTCTAAAAGACCTCAAAGATAAACGTATATGTATTTTTTGGAAAAGGCAGGAAACTGGAATGGAACCAGCCTACTGAATTCCTTGCAGCCTGTGCTTAAATTTTTTCTCATTTGAATAAAGCAAGTCATTATTCCATGGTTATTGCTAAACTACACTACTTAACATCATCCTGGGACAGTGCCTTACCTGTAAACAAGGGTTTGGAAAATGTTAGCTATCTCTAATCTGTTATGAACTTAAATATAAGGCATTTACTGTAATATTTCCCTTCCATTTTGTTCATGTTTTTATAACTAGGACTTTTTGTCATTATTAAAATCTGAATTTTAAACAGATTCTTGGACTGGTGGTTCTTATCTATCAGCTCATTCAACTTTAGTGCCTATCTCATAAAAAGTAGCTTTTCCAGAACTAATATCTTCACCATGAAGCTCCATGAGCTTTCCAAGTTTAGACTTAAGCTTCTTCAGCACTTTTTCTTTTCTAACAAAGACATCATGCAGAGGATAGACTAGCAAGACTCTCCTATGTCATTCCTAAATGCTGTCAGGACTGAATTTATTAACCACTTCTTTCAAGTCATTTGTCTACACTTCTCCAGCATGATTTCCATCACTGTCTTCCGGATCTGTTGGTGCTGTACACAGGAGGTCTTGCATATGTGGTTGTTTTGCTTTTTAGTAAAACCAACACTGAACAGCTGAAGCAAGCAACCATCAGTTGTCTTGATTTCAGCATGAGCTTCAGTCACAGTCTGTCATTTTTTACCACAAAGCACGTTGTCCCAGATATGATCCGTGTTATAGAGGTCAGACAGTTTTTGCTGTGCCCATCCCCAGTAATTAACTTGAATTTTCAAAATGCAACTTCATCATTCAGTAACTCACACTTCGAATACAGGATCTTTGAGGCCATCAGATGCAATTTGGTTCCTTGAGTCCTTGAGTGGTTTTTGTTGTTGTTGTTGTTTGTTTTTTTACATTTCTGATATTGACAATAGCTGGGGCTTTCTGTCAAACCAACCACTGTTAGAAAATGGATCAACCACTTCCTCACCTTAGCCTCTTACTTGCTGCATTTTGTCAGGTGTTTGTTCTTGTGGGCCGCCATGTTGTGTGTCTGAGAGCCAAAAGGGTTTGTTCATTATTTGATTGTTCACTGCAACTGTTTTTTTATAATTTGTAGAAGAAGACCTGTAGCTAAATTAGGAAAAATGAAAAAGTGTTCTTTCATAGCGTTCTTATTCAATGCTTTCCAGAATAGAATAAAACATATGCTCATGAGAACACTCTTAAAGGTTTTAGAATTAATTCTTTTATCTTTTAAGAAAAATAGTGTATTTGCTGTAAGGATCACATAGTAAGTTACCAGAGAAATTGTCAAACAAGTGCAATAAAACAAAGCAATGGAAGAACAGGTCAAGACATAGAAGATAATTCTAGAGAACCCATAGAGAGCAGAAATCTGTTAACATCCCTATAGTCATTTCATTTTGGCAAAGCATCATTGATAAAATTTAAATAATATAATGACTTTCAATTATAATCAATCTATAATTTTATTTCTATAATTTATAATGAAATTTGCACTTTTAACTTAATATAAATTATATTCCTAAAGAACTTAATGAACTTATGTAACAATATAATGGTTATATTTATTGTCAACTTCATAAAACCTAGGATCTCCCTGAAGACAGATCTCTGGTTATGCTTATGAAAGATTATGTAGTTTAGCTGTATTGAGGTAGAATGACTCACCCTAAATGTGGGCAGCACCATTCACTTGAAAGGAATTACTGAACTGTATATAAAGAAGAAAGATAGCTGTGCACTAGCAGTGATCTCTCTCAGCTTCCTGACTGTGGATGCAATGTCCTGCATTGTTTGTCACAGCAGCAAGACAAGCAACAAATACACACAGTAAAAATAATTCGACCGTTTAGAATTATAAGAGCTTATTTTACTTAAAAAAAAAATTTAAGGGCATATTGCTGCCTAAATAGAAACTTTATACCTTCATGGGTATAAGGAAAAAATTTTAGTGAAACGTTTTAACTAGTGAGAATAACAAGGCACGTTATTTTAATTATTTAGCTAGATGCCCTTCTAACTCTACCTATTGAAATAGACTTTTTCATTCTTCCCTTTAAGACAGGTTAAAGGCACTGGCTACAGTCTCAATTTATATTAGCTGTGGTTTAATTTACAACTCTGTGTGTTAATTTGCAATTCTGTAACTAACTGTGGTGAATTCTCACATTTCAAAATCTTTCTCAGGTTTGTACAGTAGCATTTCTGGTCTTTCTTTACTTCCTTATACCCTTTGAAATAAAAGCAACAAGCTACCCTGATACCTGCAGGCTATTTTTTCTTTAATTTAAAAAACTGAAAACACAGAAAGAAGATACAAGTTGAGTGAATAGGGAAGTGGGTGAACCAGGGAGGAGATGGAGCACGGGGGTGTATGTGATCAAAATATTTTGTGTGAAATCCTTGAAGAATAAAAATTGAGATTGGTTTATGAGTAGAAATTACTTGTCCCAAGCTTGATTTTATGATTGCTTATTTAGTCATTTTAGAAATTACAAGTTGGCAAATACAGACATTCTGAAAGCTTTTGCTCTTTAATATTTGTGCATTTTTGCCCTAAGTTTTTGTTGTTGTTGTTGTTAATCTAAGGTAGAACTTTTTTAATATTGGAGTTTTTTATAAAATGCATCTGTTACCCATTCAAAAATTAACATAATATTTTGATAAAGTTTGGAAACACTGTATAGCCATATGTTAGACCATATAATACAATGACTCAGAACACAAGTTCCTGAGTCAGACTGCCTCCTACCAGAAACTCTATGAACTTGCCAAGTCTACATACATAACTTCTCTAAATCTCCAGCCTGTTTTATTATAATTGTAAAATGTAAATAATAAAGGTGATCATATGGGTTTGTTGTAAGATTTATACATCACAGTAAATACAAGAGTTTTGACATAGTACTCGATGTAGTGTGTAGCATTGTGTACACTGTGATATGTCTAGTTAAATGAGAAAATGCATGAATTTAAACATTTCCACTCAATGTTTTCTTCCCATCCCTCTTCAAATTTAATATAAAGCACTACTTTCCAAGAGCACTTTTCCATATGCATATGAATCACTGAGACATCTGTGGAATTTGGATTATGATTCTGCAGGTCTGAGGTTGAGCCTAAATGACTGTCTGCATTTCTAGCATATGTTGATGTATGCTGACAATTACACATTAAGAAACAAACAATTAAAAGTAGTTGATAATGGACAACTGTTATTGATAGTCATTGACTCATGTAATTTGTTCTTGCCAAATTATCACAAGAGTCTTAGTGAACTTAATTTTAAAAGAAAAGTATAATTTTTTTCTCAACCTTACATCCTTGTTTTACAGAGTGTTGGGATCTGTCTTCAGTTTGAGTAATACATTCAATTAAGCCCAACAAAATTATTTCAAATATACACAAACATACCTTCATATTAATTAAAAATTGAAAAATAAGATCATGGCTAATTTTCCGTTTCTTCTCTGTGCTTTATTCCATTTTCTCTTACAAAAAAAACACTATTATACTGAAAATTTGTAGGCTTACTGCAAATTTTTTCACACCTTCTACTTGTATGATTCCTAAATTTCCTTAATTTGTATTGAAATATACTAGATACTTTATTTTAAATCAACATACTACCAGAAAATTGAGAAATAATATATTAGTTCTATTTACTTATTCTCTTTCTTTCTTTCTTTCTTTCTTTCTTTCTCTCTCTCTCTTTCTTTCTTTCTTTATTCATTTATTTTTATGTGTCTGAATGTTTTGCCTGTATATATGTAAGTGTACCCCTGTGTACAACCCAATGGAGGTCAGAAAAGGGCATTGGATCCCCTGGAACGGGAGTTACCTATGATTATTAGCCTGTATGTTGGTGCTAGGAACTGAACCTGGACTCTGCAGGAGTAGCCAGTGCTGTATTAACCTCTGAGCCATCTCTTCAGCCCCAATTTATTAGTTCTCTTTTAATTGAATGCTGAAAGTACTAAATTTTTCATTATTTAAATCATTTTGCAATACAAAGCAAATGAAATAGATTATTTCATAAATGATTTTCAAAACATACATATTAAAATACATAGTGCATCAAAGAAATGTATTGTGAAATTTCAATTGTCTTTCATTCTTTTCTTCCCATAATATAATTGTGCACTGCGAGGACCCACTTTTTCAAAAAGAAAGATAATTAAAATAGTTATATAACCTGATTGTTAGCGGCCATAAAACATAAATTTTCGGTCTCCCATATTTTGTGTTCATAGAAAACAGAAGAAAAAGGCAGTAGACTATATCTAGGTGGACATGGACATCAAATAACCCAATTTAAATCATATTTCCATAGTACTTGATCAGG